ATTTTTTCAATATTTTAAATAATGATATACACAAATAACCTCATTAAAAATATTTTTTAAAATAAAAAGAAAAATATAATCCCATTTATTGATAGTAATGGTAAAATAATATGAAACTAGTTTTTGGATAGTTAAAAAAAAAATTTAATTCGAATAGTTTAAAAATGGAATTTTTTTTCAGTTTTGTTGCTTCATTTTACTTTTATATGTATAACGATACTAGTTGTTATTAATATAGATGTAGATATTGAATTTTCAAAAAGTTTTGTATATTAAAATAAATATCTTATTGAAATATATTAAAAACTCTGCAACAATCAGTCCTCGTTGCTCCGCCACAGAGTCTCTAAGCCAGCAGCCTAACTGCTTTATTTTAATAATATTTTTCATAAACTTGTGCAGGGTATAGAGACGCTATGGAATTTAATAAGAGGCAGCTACTACGCAGCCGCAACGTCATCAACTGAAACAGCGACGATCGACGGCGTCTGCTTTCTACAGTAGCCGCATCGAGTTAGCGATCAGCGACAGCAGCCATCGATCTTGTGTTATAATCATCGTCAGAGGAGAGCCAGTCAGCCAGCCAGTCAGCCAGCCAGCCAGCCAGCCAGTCAGCCAGCCAGCCAGGCAGCCAGAAGCCAATGCAAAATTCATTTACGCTTTAATCAATTTCATTCAGAGCAGAGATTGAAGACTGAAGACTCGAGACGCGAGACTGGGGAGACTGGGGAGACTGTAGCATGGAGAGCTTCTGCAATTTTTAGCCTTAGGCAACCGCCGACAATTTTGCTGGCTTTACATTGATCTTTGGTGCATGGAGTGCATATTACGACTTTGCGACTGAGACTGCGACTGCGACTGCGACTGCGTACGCTGCCACGCCCCATTGTTGGCTTCTGTTGGCCACATGTCAAAAAATTGACGAAAATTCGATCAAAATTTTAATTGATCGCCCTGCAGTGATGCGGTCTCCACCTAAAATTGATCTCGCTCTGCGTAATTTTTGGGTACAAGACGAAAGGCTGACTCTCCGTGTTGTGATTATGTTAATAGAGGTAGAGGTAGGTAGAGGCAGCGGTGCACCCCTCTCTCAGTTGGCGCTCAGGCACAGCCGGAAACTGTTTTGCCAGCGGCTAACAGACAATGTAAGAGATCTATATATATATAGTATATATACATATATATATATTGGAGGAATGCCTGAGCCTCTGTGCAGCTGATCCATATAATATGCTAATCTTTGAGTTAGTCTACTATCAGTCTGCTCCAGATCTGCAGAGTTTCTTCCTCCTCGTCGTCTTCTTCTTCTTCTTCTTTTAATATTAACCTGTCAAAGGCCATAATTGACAACGTTTAACTTTGTCTTTTGTGCGAAAGAATCAAGAAAATTTACATTTTTATGGTTCAATAAAATAAATCAAGCAGCAGCGTCCGAGGCAAGCCAACCGAACCGAAGGGCAATGGGTAGGCAACCTTATACAGTGGCTGCTGGAAAGTAATTGCAGCACATAATAATCTCGCATTTAATAATCCTCATTAAAGCGCAAAATCACAACGCATCGCCGCTGCACACGGCCAGAGCAATCTGAGCTGGTAGTGGAGGAAATATCACCACCTCGCCAAGACCTGAACCTGACCAAAAATTAGTAGGGGACTTGCAATACTTTTTTTTTTTTGCCTCTGCCTCTTTTTGGGCTAAAATTCCAAAGGAAGAAAAAACAAGGGCGGCCAAGGTGGGTCGGGGTGCGAGGCGGCGGGCAGCGGCAGTCAGTAGGACTCTCGCATCAATCGTTGGATATGATGAGCTGACGTTCGGGTTGACGTTTGCTTGTCGTCAATACGTCGCCCTAATAACACGTCGCAACAGGTAGTCCCCAGCCATCAAAACGACGGACGGACAAACTGTATCTGATTGCGACACAAACACAGACACAGACAAAGACACACACACACACACACTTACACTCAGAGACGTCGCACATTTTGGGCGCTACGGAATTTGAGCAATTGCATGAAAAATATGAAATTAGTTGGGCAACGTCGCATCGTCAAACTGCAAAGCTGAAAACTGAAATTTTAGTCTTTCAAGCTGAAGTGTTCTTGTTCTTCTCCTGCTTCTCCTGCTTCTTCTTCTGCAGCAACGTCTTCTTGACTTTTGTTTCTTCATGCTGCTGGACTTTTAATGTGTTTTAATCATCTGAAGCAGCAGCAGCAGTAACAGCAGCAGTAACAGCAGTAGCTGCTTTTCCCTACTGCGTCCCGCTAAATTGTTTTTTATTATCGTTGGCGATTTTCATCTCCCTCTCTGATCCTTTGTGCACATCGTGGCACATTCCATTGGGCTATAAATCGTTCGACTCTGGCACCATGGCGCTGGCCAGCTCACCAGCTCACCAGCTCGTCAGCTCGCCAGCTCTTCAGCTTGTCCTTGTCCTTGGCAATATCATTTGATTTACCAGCCATAGGCATTAATTGTTTTTGTGTCATTTAATCAGTTTTCAAGCGACTGCTGCGTGATGCGAATTCCAAATTACAAATTGCGAATCAGCACACCGATCGGACACGGGCTGCTTGTTCGCAGTTCGAGGAGTTTTTCGGGCAGATTAGCTCCAGAGAGACTTTTTGCCGAGCAGACTAACCATAAATTATTATGAACCTTATGTTGATCGCATGATCTTGTAATTTGAATTTGGATTCCATGGGGATTTTATGATCTACTACTCTACCTATATATTGATGTGCTACATATCAGGATCAATGGATAGTATCTGAGTATAATTAAGGTCGATCTTATTGATTTCATCAGCTTATCTACCATTTCTTTTCATTGTCAACAAATCGACTCAGATAGCGTGCTCTAACATTGTGCAGATCGTTGATGACCAAGTGAGAAAGAATGATCTTTGCTAATCAATTTCCCAGTGATCCCATGATCATACGATCTCATAATAATCTATCTTTTCACTTCAACAGTTATCATAACCGATCTGAGCATGTTGAAAATATAAGCTGATCTAGTTGTTAATGATCATTTGAGCAGTACAACGTGTGATCGAGCCGCTTCTGCAAACAGCTAACAAAGCTAATGCGTGGTGATCTAGGCTAACAGATAATAGAATAAATGGAATGTGCAGATTAGCTGATCTAGTTGTTGGCGATCGAGTAATCGTCTCATCGAATGATCACGTGATCCTCTCACCATGGGATAGATATTCTTTCAATCAATTATCATCACAAACTGCGAGCACTCACATGCTCAAGGCTACAGAGTTAACCCCAGCTAAGCAGCGAGTGGCTGATCTGTGTCTGATCGTGTGGGTTCCTCAATTAGTTGTCATAGCTAACATGAATTCTAATTGCACAGTTGTCACTGTCACTTAACGTGTTGCTGTCGTGTTGTCTGTCAGTTGGAGTAGGCGTTGATCGGCAATCGTGGATCGTTGAATGTTCGAACGACGCGTCGATCGTCG